AAACAGCAGGAATGGGTTTCCCTGCGGGAGCTGAACTATTGTGTTTATCTGGTCAATCTTATAAGTCTAACAAGCCGGGTTTTGCATGATGTGAGGGGAAAAATGACAAAAATTGCCAGTGTTTGGATGTTTTATTGGACAATGTCTCTCGTATTGTAGACCCATGTCTCGGACATCTGAATGTCATGGGCTCATCTTTGTTCTATTTTGCACCCATCCACAATTGACACTTCAGGGTCTATTAATGCTACATTTATCAATAGATTTTGCAATAATGAGATAACAAAGGCTCCTATGGCTTCTGTCCACATCATCCTCCTATGTAGCTAGTTCTTACATGGAGCAGTGTTTGTCTACTCAAATATGGGAGAATTTTGGTAGAGGTCTTGAAAGCCTCAATGACTCTTTTTACATTGTACCAGCATCAACATGATCCAAATGCCTTTCCATGGCCTACTCCGGAGCAATTTACTTCCCTTTGTTCTTGGCATTCCATAGCCTACTCCTGTAGATGAAGATGAAGAATGAAGACTAAGAAGAGGAAAGTGATTCGGCAGAGCGATATGAGGATGAAGGACATTGAGAAAGATGACATCATTATTTACAGTTTTCTTGCATTTTTAATTTCAGTTTCAGCACTTTAAATTCAGTACTGAGTTAGTTATGTTTATATGGTGTTGTTTTGGATTATTATACTTGGTACTCTGGTATGTTGCACTCTAGGTTGCAGCGATATAATTTATCATGATCTGTTTTGGTGCTCTAAGGTAGTTTCAAATTTTGAGGGTACTGCAATACATATTTGTGATGCATTTTTGATGATCATGAGAAGAAAGAGAAAAGTTGAAATTCTTTTGAAGTGAAATGCTTTTTGAAACCTTGTGCACGAATTTTGATTATGATTATCAATGTTCAATCATGATCAATGCCTCATTGGATTAGCATTTTAATGAAAATGAATAGAGAATTTAAAGAAAATTTGAAATTTGGTTGCATTCATATGATCATTGCATAGTCACATTTGGAATGCATTTATAAGTTAGTGTTTTTTTGACATCTAAGAGGTGAGTAATTGTTCGGTAGTTAAACCTAAGTGAGTGAGTTATGAGCATCATATAAACACTATCTGAGAGCCATCATTATTGTCTTTGTAGTTGATATTGATTGATTCTTTCAATTTTTCTATGAAACATGGACATGATCAAGACAATCATTCTTTGAAAATTTCTAAACCAAGGGCCAAATAGCCAACCTTAAATGTTAAAATTTCATTTGAACCGTATTTGAGCCTTGTGAAAACTTATTTTGTGAACCTAAAGCCTTGGAAAGAAAAACCATGATTCTCTCCTTCACCAAAGTATAGAGAGCATAAATGAGATTTGATGAAACTTAGTTTGGGGAGGACATGTCAAAGTTGAAAAGAAAGAAAAAGTTAGGAAATTAAAGGATGATGATGTGTTGGAATTTCTTGTGTTAAATGTATTTGAAGTTTATATAAACAAAAGTCAAAGAAAAGAAACAAATGTGAGGTGTGTATTGTATAAGTTTGTGTTTGTGTATAAGCAAGAGAGAATTTTCTCCTATTCAGTTTGTGATTGGGGTGGTTCTTTAAGGAAGATAATGGGAAATTAGATTAGCAAAGGAGTTGGAATAGAGGAAAGAGAATTGGGAATGAATTGGAGTTTAAATATCACTTATGCTCTCCAAACCTTGGTGTTTTGATTGTTTGTCTAGAAAAACCAATATTCCTTGTGAGCCTAGCCAAGCTACAATCCTATAAAGACCTTGTGATCCATGATTGATTCTTACATTATAGTGACATGTGAGAGATACTAATCAGTGTTAGCTTCCATTGATGTAGTGTATAAATTGAGTGAAACACTCACCTTGATGAGAGAGATACATTTTGGTAAGGATCTTGCTTAATTGGTTGCTTGACTGGACTGCTAATTACCACTTGACCTTGTGTGGCCTTGCTATTTTTGTGTTGTGGGCACCAAATTGAATGAAAGACATGTTATTGATTTGCTTTTAGATTCATGTGATAGAAAACAATAATTCTTCACTGGTAATCAGCTTTGGAACACTATGTGAACTATGTCCATGGACAAAAAAAATCACAATTGAGCTAAACCCCATTGGTAGTAACTATAGAATGTAGTAATTAGTAAAAATATTTTAATCAAATAAAATTATTTTATTATGAAAATTAACATAGTTAAATTTTTAAGATATATATACGTTATACAAATAAAAGAAAATGAAATGAGGAAAGTATTTAATATTATTAATGTCTATGTGGCTTTTTACCCGAAAGACTTTGTTCATGTGATTCTCGTGACACGATAAGCCATAGCACTTATCATATCTGATGAGATGATTTTGTAGTGTACTTATCTTGCTCACAACGCCGATGAACATAGTATATTAGTCGGCCCTAGTAGTCATGTTTGCATTCTTACATAAAGGTGGTTCCTTTCCCATTCAGAAAACCTTCATAAATCTTCCCTTATTTTCTTCCTAGTTTCCCCCTCTTTTTCAGGTGAACTTCTGTTGAATTCATTTTTATTTTTATTTTTTAAATGCTTAAATTAACAAAGGAGAATTTTCCTTTTTTTCTACTGGAAATTTTCAAAACATGATGGAGGTGACTGCAGGGGAGATACTATTATACCATGATTTGTGTCATCTTTTAACTTTTATTTTTCTGCTTCAATTTTAATTGTTAATGACTCCAACCCTATATTTTTCAATTTGGCCTTTCAATAAAACATTTTGGGATCTAATTGATTCCTTTTTTGCTTTACCTTTTCTCGTGATTGTCGAATTTTTCCATAATCAAAAGCCTAGTCAAACAGACTGAGATTTTGACGAAACAGAATTGTTTCCAAGTTTTCTCTGTCCAATTGGTCTATCATTTTAATGAAAGCAATATGTTAGTATTTGATTTGGTACTAATTGTGATTTGAGTAGAAGTTTTGATTTTTATAGGATTGTGATGTAGGGTTGGTAATTTGAAACAGACAGGTTTGTAATGGAGATGTCTACTCTGGATAAAGACCTTCTTTTTTTAATCTTACAATTTCTCCATGAGGAGGGTTTCAAGGAAACCGCACACAAGTATGCCTCCCTCTGTATCTAAATTCGCTGTTCTTAGCCTTTGTTTTTGGCTTTTGGCATTTTTTCCTTCAAATTTTGATTTGTAGGCTTGAGCGGGAAAGTGGCTTTTACTTTGACATGAATTATTTCGAGGACATGCTGCTTGCTGGGAACTGGGATGATGCTGAGAGGTATTTTTCTGGATTCACAAGGATTGATGACAACATGCACTCGGCCAAAATATACTTTGAAATCAGGAAACAAAAATTTCTTGAGGAATTGGACATGTAAGCATTTTTTGTCTCATATTATAGGGACCTTGTTGGTCTAAGAATAAATTTTTGGGCTTTGATACCATCTTATTGTTTACAAATGAGTGCTTATTTGTTTTCGGTTAGGTAAGTTGTTCACAGCCTATGACTATCTAAACTTGTATTTCTTGTGTCATAACTCATCAGTGACAATCGTGCCAAGGCTTTAGATATCCTCATCAAGGATCTAAAAGTTTTTTCCCCAGGGCATGAAGAACTGTTCCATGAAATGACTCAGCTTTTGACAATTAACAATATAAGGTATGACTCACTGCTAGTCACTAATTTTAGATACAAGGTCAATAATATCCTTTGAAGATCTTTAAGCTTAAATCTTTTTTTGGTTCTAAAAAGGGAGCATGCATTACTTTCAACATATGGAGAGGCAAATTTTGCGAGGAATATTGTGGTGGATTATATTAAAAAAGTAATTGAGGCAAATCCTGTGTTCCATGGAAAATTGAAATGTCCTACCATTAAAAGTCAGAGGTTACATGGTCTTATGAACCAAAGGTTTCACTCTCCTTTCCCAATTTATAGTTGATAATGTATAAACATAATTTGCAATCACGATTGCCTGTATTCTTGACATTTTCCTGTGCTTTTCAACTACCGGTAGAAAATGTACTCATTATTATTTTCGTCAGTTTGAATTGGCAGCATCTACTTTGTAAAGATCCACTTCTAGATCCTGATATAAAAACCATCTTCGTGGACCATGTTTGCAAACTGGATTTAAACCTTTCATCTCTACAATCAGAAGAAAGTGATTCAATTAAAAACACTGATTTTGCTAAGCATTTGTCAAACCGTAATTCTGGCCCGTCTATTATAGCTAATTCTGTACCCTTTCTTGCTGCACTTACAAATCCAGGTATGAGCTTTATTACATTTTTTTTTCTTGCCTTAGTAATCATTTGAATATATGCTCATTGTGGTAATAGTCCATGACCTTTCTGTAGAAACTACAACGGAGGATCCTAGTGTAATATCACTCAAAGGAAGGCTTTATCAGACTTCCAATGAGGTCAGTTGGATTACTTTTTATTTTTTAATTTTGTTAAACATGACTGCAAGATTTTGTGACACTCTCTACCCTTTTAGTTAATACTTAAAATAAAAGATTTTTGAAAAGAACACTTAAGTAAAAACAACGAAAAATCTAGGCAATACTTAAGGTATCAAATGAAAAGAGTTTGCAAACCACCTCCAAGGATAGAGGGCAATACTTTAGTTACCAAATGAAAATTGTTCACTAGCTAAAACAATTTCTAGAAGGGGATAATATTGCGGAAACCAAAACAATGAAGTCAAGTAGCTATACAGGAGCTGTTATGAGTTCTAGAGAGATCTAATAAAAGTTTCTAAACAACTAAACCAATTAAAAGGAAAGATATCAAAGAACATAAAACATAAACTTTAAGTCTCCGATGTCACATCCTATATTAGAGCATATCCTAAGCATAGCCAAGGCACCATGCCTTGTCACCGATATCATCATCTTAATAACCCTCACCTATAAAACATTCATAAAAGTACAACAAAACAATAGAGGAGTAAGAAAAGTCTCACTATGGCTACTAGTGTACGATATAGCTTGATAACCACACATCAACAACATAAGCATTTATTATACACACACAACAAATCAATATGATGTTCACAATAGTTATAACTTAAGGAATAATCCAACAAACACCATGTTTACAATGTTCATGATTCACACAAATGCAATGAACATAGACTTCACTAAACTATATGCATGTGCTGCTAGTATAACACTTTATCCTTGCTTGAAGACTCACATATAGTAGCCTAGAAGAACATATTGGAGTTAACCCATCACAACACTTTACACTAGGGAGAGATACACTGGGCACATCAGGACAACAATGTCAGCCAAGTTTCATTCCATGCACACAAACATACAGAACTAAGACTCCCAAATCCAGTTGTCCCCAAGGTCATGAATCCCTAAGCTCACACAAGAGGAACCTTTCCTAGTAGTGTATTCCACAACGTACCCTTCACACAAAACACTTAATGCATAAGGTGCATGTCACATAAGACCCAATGTACAGTTCATGTTATATCTCTATCACAAGTACAAATCACATAACTTTATCATATCACTACTAGGCACTCATGCCCAACTTTAATCCTACTAAACCTCAGCTTAGACTTCACTTGACATAACCATCATATGGTTCACACACAACATGACAGACCATCATCACATACACCTAATTAATCAAGCGGATAATTATAGATTGACCTTAACTACTCTCTTAAATCTTCACCTACTCACTATCATGTTACCATTGATGTTACAAATCATGTCCGTTAGCTAATCATCACCAAATACCTCAACCTCCATAGCTAAGTTCATGTTCATATACAAAGTGGGCCCAGGCGAGGCATCCTCGTGCCCGACACCAAACCCACAAAGAGCACATATTGCTCTTGGGAGGTCCCACATCTGGTGTGATCTTAGTCCCACCCGATGAAAACACAACATAGAGCCCATAGAGCTCCCGTACCCAGTGCTACCTAACGTATGAGCCACAAAGAGTAGCCTATGCTCTTTGTTGCTCTCGCGCCTAACGACATCATATTGGCGCTTCACACCATAGCAATTCGTCTCAAACTGCAGAATATGCGAAAATCGAATAAGCTAACCCAATTCCCAGAACTTGCAAATTGCAATCTAATCGGTAAAAATCACAATTTAAGCCTATTAGTACACAATCACATCACCAATAAAAATAATTAACTAAAACATCCTTCTCCATATAATATAGTAAACATAATAATTTCGCAACCTTTAATAATTCAATAAAACACTCATAATTATATAAAAAAAAACCTCGAATTTATTTTCCAAAACCCAATTAATTAAATAAAACACCATTTATTAATTTTATGGAAACTTGGGGTGTTACAAATTTCCTATATATATATATATTTTAATCAAATAGATGATCTGCCTTCATGTGCAGGTGACATCAACTGTAGCAAATGTTCTTCCTGGAAATGTTGCACAAATATTGAAAGACGATTCACCTCCTATTACCATGGATTTCCATCCTGTTTGCCATACAATACTTCTAGGTTGCTTCATAGAACTTAGTCTTAACTCCTTTTTCAAATCATTTAATCATAGATGTAGTTTGAGGCAATTGATATTGATAATAATAAATAAAAACAGCTAACATGTAGATATTGTTTTGATTCTTCAGTTGGAACAAATATTGGCAGTATAGGACTTTGGGATGTTAAATCTGGTGAGAAAATTTTCTCTAAAAATTATAGAATATGGGGTAGTGGAGCAAGCTCTGCCAATTTCAAGGTATGTTCACTTCCCGAGTATGTTGTCCTCCAAAGAATACTTATTATTATCATTATCAATGACCTAAACAGTAAATGCTCTGAATCATTATCAACAATATTTAGGAAGCTCTAGAAAAGAACTCGTGTGTTTCAGTTAAGAAAATCAAGTGGAGTCCTGACGGTACTCTATTTGGTAAGAATCTTCCGCTACTTAAAGGGTGTATCTAGTTACTAATGATTACAAAGATTTATTGCTCCTAACTTATTCTTACTTTATATGCAGGGGTTGCATTTTCAAAACATTTTGTTCAATTGTATTCCTATTGTGATGGCAATGACATCATTAGCCAACATTTACAAGTAAATATATTTCATTTCCCCCTCTACATGTCTAGTTAGATGCAAGTCTCAAATTAACTTCTAAATACTTTCTTCTCAGATTGATGCTCATGATGGTAGCGTCAACGATCTAGCATTTTCTTGTCTTAATAAGAAATTGTTGGTCATAACATGTGGAGATGACAAGACAATAAAGGTCAATTCTTATGACAGACAATAAACTATCATGCATAAAGAAACTAACCTTAAGGACCCAAAAAATAACTAACCAAATGTCCTTTCCTTTTTACTTTTAAGGTTTGGGATGCTGTTAATGGTGTCAAATGTCATACTTTTGAAGGTCACGATGCTCCAGTTTGTTCTATTTGTCCTCATGTGAAACAACATGTTCATGTAAGAATAATTTTCTGTTGTGTCATAATGTAATAATTGGTTGCATTTGTTGATCCTTCTTTTATGCTATATGATTCTTTTGCACCTACACTTCAGTTTATTTTTTCAACTTCAATCAATGGAAAGATCAAGGCATGGCTATATGATTCTTTGGGAGCTAGAGTTGATTTTGATGCCCCTGGTCATGGTTACACTACTTTGGCTTACAGTGTTGATGATCAAAGGTTTTGATCTACTAGTCGCAATACATTTGGAATAGTTTTTTTCCTATTAGCAAGTGATTGTAGTCTCACTAATGCCGACAAACTTTTATAGGCTTTTTTCTTGTGGAAGTGGTAAAGATGGAGAGCCCTATCTTGTGGAATGGGATGAAAGTGAAGGATATATAAAAAGACAGTATAAAGGACTTAAAAAACCATGTTTTTCAACCATCCATTTTGATTCAACTCAGAAAGGATTTTTGGCTGCTGGTGATGACCACATGGTTAAAATTTGGAATATGGACAGTATTGAGCTCTGGACAAGCACTGGTGTTGGTGCTGAATTACTGGTAAGTTCTTCACGAGGTCTTTTGATTACTAGATGCGACTTGAAAGTTGTTAGTGTTCTAACAATCGAAAATTCACAACTTATTTTATTGAATATCTTATATTTCGGGGGAGGTGGTGGTTTTAGTTAAACTTTGACAAGAAATAGTACTTTTAAGTTTTAATTCATTTTTCTTCAGGAAAATCCATGTATTTGCTTCAACAAGAAGGGCACATTATTGGCTGCTACTGCAAAAGAAAACAAAATAAAAATTTTAGCAATTGATGACATTTTGCTGAAACGGAATGAAATTCATGACCCCAGTAATCTACATGAAACTTTAAAGGTAATCATATGTAACTTAACATTGACTATGTTGTGGAGTTTCTCAATCCTTGAACTTTTGATTTCTTGCAGCTTACACAAAGCCCACTTTTGATTGATGCTAGTGCTGGAGTTGCAAATGAAGGCATTCCCATGGTTTGTTGTTTGAAAAGTTATAAAATAATCTTCTGTTATACATAGAAAAGTATATTTTAGATTCATTTGTTTAAGTAACCTATAAACATGATACATACAAAAATTTGTCTGTTTATCTTGTTTTTGGAGTAGAGTTTCTTTCTTGACATTTCTTTGCATCCTATACTTGGGTTTTTGAGTTAGTATCCTCATTTCAACTTGGTTTTTAGTTAAAGAATGGGCACCAAAAAGGCTTGGAGGAGGATGGGAAGTCTAATTCAATTGAAGAGTTCCACAACAAATCAAAATTTCCAAATGTCTCAGAAATTTGTGACCCATCCCATTGTCTGTTCTTGCAGCTTCCAATTCATCCTAAAATAAGCAAGGTACGACATTTGTATGTCAGTGCTTTAATGGATTATTGTAAATAGTAATTTATCACTAATTTTAACAATAGTTGAACAAGATACATATCATCCTTTAATGTGTAGTATCTATCATGGTCATGGGATAACTCTATTAATATCTCTAGCATTCTTTTGCATAAATGTTAAGGCAGTTGAAATCATAAAATAATAATTACTATTGGATCCCATGTATTGATAAACATGTCATCCACACACATCAAATCAAGAATGAAAGTTTCAGTCCATATAAAGATGGACATACAAGATAACCAAACATTTAGCCAACTAGCTTTCACAGATGAATAAGAAATTATTGATAATTTTCCCTCTCATAAAACACAGATAGTTAGACTGTCTTACACCAATGCGGGAAATGGCATTTTGGCATTGGCATCAAATGGTGATCATCTACTTTGGAAATGGCCTCATAATAACCTTAACTTGGATGGCAAGGTAAGTGGAAAAATAAAATCCACCTTTTTTTACTTTGTAGTTAAATTTATTGTAAAATATAAGCAATACATGTAGGCAACTGCACAAGTTTCCCCTCACATTTGGCAATCAAGGACTGGCTTGCAATTGATGAGCAATAAGCTTCCAAGTTCTTACAATGAAGACATAGTTTCCTCTTTTTCTTTATCAAAGAATGATTCATATCTCATGTCAACATCCGGGGGGCCAATCTCCTTGTTCAACATGGTGACATTTAAGGTAAAGAATTCTCCTTCATTTCTATGAAATTGTTTAAAGCTGACATTTTAATATCATTGTGGAAGGTTCCATTATCCCTACATTCATAAAGTTTTTCTAAAAACTTGTAGTCTATATATATGCATCAACTTTTTCTAGAATCAGAATAATTGATTTTTCATTTATTTAACATGTTATATACTTTTTTTTCCCTCCAATTCTCATTAGTTCAGAAAAAATTATTCATTGATTCTTTTTTTTATATGATATCATGCTACCGGTTACTATTTTGCTACCACGTGTGTTTGACTAATCATGTTACTCATTGCCCATAATTATAGACCGTGACGACTATCATGCCTCCACCACCTATGGTAACCTGTCTCAGCTTCTACCCTCACGATAATAATATACTTGCTGTTGGTATGGATGATTCCAGTATAATTATATATTATGTCCGAACAAACAAGGTATATCTCTTCATTTGAGAAAGATATGTATTATAATTGTTGTCTATTTCAAGGAGGTTAAGGCATAGTTTTTTGTTTCTTACATTTGTACAGATTAAAAGCAAGCTTGAGGGCCACTCCAAAAGAGTTACTTCCCTTGCCTTCTCAAATAGCTTTAATCTTCTTGTATCTGGTGATACAAATGCTCAGGTTGGTATTAATATTTTATTACATGCATCAGTGAGATGTGTTAAAGTGAACATTTTATTGTTAAGTTGTTTTGTCATTATTTAATTATATATTGCAGATTTTTGTGTGGAATACCATTGGATGGGAAAAACATAAAGCTAGGTACTTGCTAATACTTGAACCGAAGGTGCCAGAAGTACCATCTGAAACTTACGTTGAGTTTCACCGGGATCAGAGGCAATTCCTTGTTGTACGTAGTAATCATCTTGCAATTTATGAACCAACAGATCTGAGATGTGTCGACCAGGTTCTCTCTTTTCCTTACTTATGATGTGGTTTTTCACTTCTTCAAAATGAGTCGTTTCTTACTAAAGTATATATATTTTTTGTTTCATATTAGTGGGTTCCAAAAGTTCCAGTGGTTATCTCCCAAGCAACTTTCTCATCCGATTGTCAGGCTGTGTATGCTAGTTTTGGTGATGGAACTGTGGCAATATTTGATGCTCTAAATTTTCAAATGCGTTGTAGGATTAATCCCTCAGCTTACTTTTCTACAACTCCAAGGTATGTTTGTCTTCTTTTAAAGTTGCAATTTCTAGACTTGTCCAAGTTATTCATAATATGTTTGTCATGATAAATAATGTCATCTTAGAAGAGAAAAATTTTATCTTATACTTTTGTTAGATATTATTTTGGATTCTTATTATCACATTATGGATTGTCATTTATTCATTATACATATTACCTTGCCATGTATTGTAATTAAATTATTTGTTTATTCCAGATCAAGCATCTATCCACTTGCCATTGCTGCACATCCAGAGAAGCCAAGCCAGTTTGCTGTGGGGCTCACAGATGGAAGGGTTTTTGTGTTCGAGCCTCTGAAGCCAAATGATTGGAACGGGTTTAATCCTCATAATAAGGAGGCAATAAACACAAGGGTTGTGGGACCGAGCAGTATCAGAGTTGAAATGAGATGAAAATTAAATGACTAAAGAAAAAGTAACCCGACACCTGGAAAAAATAATAAAATTATATGAACTATTTGTAATAAGAGTGTTTCTTGTTACTCTTCATTATCTATTGTTACTTTCGTTGATTCAATTTTATCTTCTTAAATTATCCTTCATTACATGCATGATTCTGCTATATTCAAAGTTTTTACTCTTATACTCTAAATTTCTCATTATTAATTAACCTATATTCATTGCTTAACTTATATATAAGGAATAATAAATTTTAAATAAAAAATGCAAACAAAATATGTAACAAATGCAAAGTTAAGAAAATAAAACTATGTTGTCAATTATAAATTGATTTTTTCTTGAGTATTTATAAATTTAAGTCAAATTATTGTGCCTTTCTTGAGGCACTAGTTTTTTTTTTTTGTTTTTTTTTTTCCAGTTTTTAGCATTACCAAAACAAAAAGGTTTGTGATATATACACCTCTTTTTTTTTCTATAAGTACACCTCCTTTTAAAAAAAATAATTAAAATTTTAAAATATTCTTAATTTTTTGTTTTAAATTTTTTAATTTTACATCCACAACATTTAATTTAAATTTTTTTTTCACACATCTTTTTTTCAATTTTTACATGCACTCTCTTATTTTTCCTTCACTTCACCTATTTTGGTAGCATGTAAAAATTGAAAGAGAAAAAAAAAAGTGTGTGAATAAGAAGAAAAAAGTAGCAAATTGAAAGTTGAAAATGTAAAATTAAATTTTTTTAAAAAAATTATAATATTTATAATTTTTTTTGAAAGGGGGTGTACTTATAAAAAAAAAAGGAGGTGTATATATCATGAGCCAAACAAAAAAGAGTCGATTTTTAGCTTCCTAAAGGAATTTTTTCACAAAAAAAAAAAAAAAAGAAAACCAGATTTGTAATAATATTTATAATATTTTTCATACATTAAGTCGCTGTACCAGAATTTCCTAATAATTGTACATTTTAAAACAATATTCATCAATGATATTCCCAAATTAATTTTTAGTTTTAATGGAGTGTTTTAGGTTTAAAAAATAGAAAATAGACTATCTTCTTACGGTGTAAAACAAAATAAATATTATGTATAATAAATTGGTTGACTTTTATAATTATATTTAAAAATTATATCAAAATCAGAAACTGGAAAACTTGTTTTCGTCCTCAAATATTTAATTGTCGTATTTGTTAACAGAAGTGAGTAAGGCGAACAAATGAGAGATATATACTGTTTGAAACCAAAAACATATAAGCCAACGTATTATAATAATACAACAAATAATAATAAACAAATCCATTGTCATGATGAAACTTTGTAAAACTTTACACAGAGCCTGAACCATCATCAATCTTTGCTACTGCTGATGCATAACTCACGCTACTGTCCATTACACTTTTGCACTGACTCGATTGCTCATAGCGAAGAAATTTTATCTTTATCTTTGTTGCGCAATTCCTCAGCATCTGATACAATTGCATCATGTTACATCAAAATGATTGACACTCAAATAAAAAGAACATGATGTAACTACATGGAATATCTTTAACAATTGATTTAACTATATTGTAACTATATAATGACAATTTACGAGGCACTTACATGGAGATAAACACTGATTGGATTGCTTCCGCAGATAGTGTTTTTATATTTCGACAGATATTTTCTAAATATGTCTGGATCTCCTGTTTCTATGATATCCATGCCCACCTTGTCTAAGGCCTCAATAAATTTGTATATAGGCCCCTCATAGTCACTGTCATAGAACGTGTATTTAAACCTGGCATAGAACACTAGTAATTAGCCTAACATAATCAAGGTTTTGGTATACATAATTTTTATATCTGATCCTTAGATTGTATTTTTTTTCTAATCAGCTAAAGAAAATTATTTCGAGCAGTATAAAGTGCATCTGTTATCTGAATCTGCTTGTGTTAATAATAACTTAATATACTAGTAAGAACTTTACGTACCGATATCCCCAATGACAAAAATCCGATGACACGCAGAAGAAGTTATTTGGATCATCCACATATTTAGAAAGTAGTTGTCCGTACATGGCTTGATTCCCGGCACTAGGCTTACCAACTAAAATGGGTACAATTTTAATCTGCTGCCTGCATCAATGTTTCAAATTCAGTTTTTGCTGCTAAGCTTCAGAACATAAATCACTATGAGCCATTTCGAGCATTTCAGTGTTTCTTTATCCAAAATAAAGATTATTTTCAATAGAAACTCTCAATTTTTAATCTTATACCTAAACGGATTCTGTTAACAAAATTTACCTCTCAAATACTTTAGCAATATATGGTAAGTGCATTTCCATGCTATGCTCAGCCTCATCAACGCGAATATTCATCAGTTCAAATTTCTGCGTAGCTTTAAGCTGCTCAATTACTTAATCAATAAAAAGAGAAGTCAATAAAGTGAAAATTTCAATCAAATTGCTTGACGACTAGGTTGCAAAACAACAACAAAAAATGCCATAAAATGAGAAGATATAAAATTGAAATGATCCCTTTCTCGAGAACAAAGTTTCAAATTTATTGCAAGAAAATAAATATTTTGTAAAAAAAAATCTTTATTAATAACTAATTCTCAGTGACACATTGGCAAGAATCAATATCTAACTAGTAACTGCATCAGTAAGAAATTTTATTTTATATGATATGCTAGTACCTTCTAAATCAACGTGTAGGTCCCCCATGGGTGTTTTGTAGAGTGTTGCAGTTGAAAGAGCACAATTGGGTGTGTAATAGTGATGAGAAGGACCAAGAACGAACACCCGTGTACTGAAACCACAAATATAATTAAATAAGAAAAAAAAATGCTAGTAATTGGCAGACAAAAGAATAAGAAAATAAATATAAATAGAGCAGAAAAAAAATGAACGTACATGTTAGATGGATCAATGTTTGCAAAGGCATATGCAGCAGCTCGTCCAGAATGGGAATAACCAGCATGCCTAACATTCCAATGCAACTTATTAATTAGAAACTTAGAATTCTATGTCAAATTAATCAAAAACCAAAGAAAAGAGACTCAAAATTAAGCATAATAATGGTTAATTTCAACTTACGGTGCTATTACTCCTCGTACATTACGAGACTTTGAGAGACCAGTCGATCTCACCCATCCTTCTAGTTCTTTTGAAAGCTGCGTATCTGTAATATTTTATATCATAATTCTTCAGTTAAAACAACAACTAGCAGGGATCAAATGTCACTTAGGCTTATTTATGAATTGGGAATGACCCGATTTTCAAAAAAAAAGTAAAACATTTCATTCAATTACTTTAGTTTTATTCTTTATCATTCAATCACTTCAATTCATGAAAAAATTTACAAATATTAAAATAAATAAAGTAATCCAACATCAAACATTTTATTTGGGTCAATATGATATATCTCTCCATGAAAAGTCTTGAATTTTAATATTCATTTAAGAGATACATCTCTCTTAATAAATGTTGTATCAAATACACAAACCTAAAAACTAAACTTATTTTTATACCCCTCCATAATGTTTGCTCAAAGTTTATATGACATAGCCTTCTTTTATTCCCAGCATTATAATACAAAAATACTAAAACAACCTTGTCTTTCCACAAAAAAACTAACACGAAACTTTTCTTGTCGCTTCACACTACACATGCATCCAATATATTCATGTAATTTTCAATTAGAAATCACATAATTTTCTATAATACACCATTTGTACACCTTTATTCATCATTGCTTCCCTGCACCAATCATACCACATATTGCTCTGACCATTCAAATAATTCTCTCCTCCAATATCATGGCCATACCTCCTACTTCCCATGATTTGCTACCATCATTTTTTCAATAAAACAATATTGAATATCTTTAAGTTTGTAACCCCCAACCCTACAACGTCACACTCCTGACCCACTATGTCTTGTATATCATTCCCACAAGAGTATTAAATTAGACAAAAGTTCTATATTTCACAACAAAAAAATAGAGAAATAATAAAATAATGAATTTGAAAGATAAAAGATCAATATTATCAATTGTGAGTATCTCTAAATGAACAAATATAGTGATGAACGAACTTTGGTGACGAATACTATAATATAGGGAACTTACGGTTGTCTGTGTACCACAGACCGGCATGAGAAGCTCTTCTCTCCATCATTAGACACCAAATTTGAGGATTAATAAATCCAAATATCAAAACAGGAACCTTCCAATCAAACAATTTTCAGAATTCTTCTAATAAGCCACCTTTATGGTGTGTTTGGATAGAGAATTTAAATGAAGTAATTCATTTATTTGAAGAATTTCAAATTTTTTGAGGTGAAATACCTTGTTTGGATGAAGAATTTATAAAGAATTTGAAATTCAAGCATTTGTGAAATTCCTTGAAATAGTAGAATTTCAAATTCTCCCAAAAAAGTGAAAACTTGAAATTCCTCATATTTTTTTTTATTTCACTTATATATTTTATCTCATCTCTTATCTCTTCATATTTTTAATTATTAAATATTTAAAAATATTTTTAATTATTGAATATTTAAAAATATTTTTAAAATTATTAAATATTATCTAATATTAAAATCTCAACATATAAATATATTTTTAAAATCAATTTTACCATGGTTGAATCAAATTATCATATCCAACCCTATAATTTAAAATTTGAGAAATTTGAATTGACTTATCCAAACAAAATATTTTAATAATGATAGAAATTGAAATCAAAATAATTAAAATACCAAGAATTTAAAATTTCTTAAATTTGTAAAATTCCTCGTCCAAACACACCATTAAGTTTCTGCAACTACTTCTCTTTTCTTAATTCGTAATCAATGGTGTTCTATTTATAAGCTATTATACCTTTTTTTAAATTCAAGTTTTTGAGCTTTTCATCTGTTTCCACCAAAAAAATATATATCTTTTAACATATATCTTATTACATGATAAGTTTTTAGGTAAGATCAGATAAAATTTTTAAATTTATTTGTTTTCATTTGATAATTATTGTATTAATTTGACCAAAATCTGTTGCTATCTAAATCTGTTGATGATTTGGATGAGGCGGTTAAACTTGAAAAAGTAAGGCAAATATAATATCTTGATATATTTTTGTTTATTATTAGATTTGAAGGGAGATCAAATTACACTAGTCTAATTATAATAATTATTATACTGTTAATAATTTTATATTAAAAGTGAATTTTATTAATTCAATCATTAAATTATAATTTTAAATTATTTTGAATATTTATGTTAAATTTTATTAAAATTAAATAATAATATATAAAAATATGTAATAATAAACAATTTAGGTTGTAATATATGATAATTATTTTTAGTTATTGACAATTTTTTTAAAAAGAATATTGATATTCAATTAAGACATGAAGGAAAAAAAATATATTAAAAGGCATTGATTGTTTAAAAAACAAATATATAGATAAAAATAAAACGTGATAGTTTAAGGGAAAAATATTTTTTTTATAGATAAATTATACTTTTAATTTTTTATTTTATTTTTTAGATTCATTTTGTTTCTTTATTTCTTAAAATGTTTATTTTGATCTTTTATCCTTTACATTTGGATTGATTTAATCATTCTAAAACAATGATTATTTTCAAATTTTGAATTTCTTTGACTAATTCAAGAATTAAAAATGGTGTTGTTAGATTCATTTATTAAAAAACTAATGAATATAAATTAAATTCAAAACAAGAAGTGTTATGAACATGGTGTAAATTACATAAAAATAACATTAAAAAAATTCAAAAATCTAATTTCATAATATTTTTTAGTTGTTCATTGGAATATATTTTTTACACTGTTTTTCACATTTTGAATTAGTTAAAAATTGATTCAAAATTATATCGTAAAATTGCTAATAATTATTATTTAAAAAAATAAACTATTCACATTTAAGAGATAAAGGATATTTTAAAAGATAAATAACAAAAATAAATTTTAAAACTAAGATAAAATATTAAAAGTATAATTTAGTTATTTTTAATTATTAATTTGTGAGATTAGTGTATGAAATGAAATATACATTTAAAAGAAAGATGAAAGAATATTGAGAATGTCAAATTGGGAGCGTGGAGAATGAGAATCTCTCTCCAAATTTTTTTATATAAAAAATGTATATTTTAAGTTATAATATTAGAATCTATTTGAAAAATATATAAAAGAAAAAATCCCTATTATTTAATAATGCTAAAACCATATAGTTGAAGAAAGAATAAAATAATCAATTTGATGATAAATTGATGAATTGAACATCATAATTTTAGTCTAAATTAATCTTGATTAAATTTTACAATGTGCATATTTAAAAAGTATCAATACTTTTTTTTTAGTATATCAATATATAATATATAATAAATACATAATAACATAAAATTGATGATATGACTTATTGTTTAAGATCTCTTTATTTATTTTTAATTGGTAAATGACTTTGAAGATTACTTTTGCTGTCTATTCCATTTAGACTTACATATTTTTTTATATTTAAAAAATTAAATAATTTAATCGATGAAATATTTTGCAGGTTTAAATTTAAAACACAATTAATATTAAATTATAAAATCATTGACGATGTGATTTTAATATAGAGATAATTATCTTTTATATTTCAAGACAAAAAGATATTGATATTTTTTATTTATAAAAAATATATGTTATGGATTGAATTTGATATAATACGTTAAAATATAAAGTAATAAACTTTAAATTTATAGATATAAGAAGTTTTGACATTAACAAATGAATAAAATAAAATTGATTAAATTTTTGTAAAAGGAAATTCTTATTAACATATAAATCATGAAAAAGAAACTATTTAAAAAATAATTAATAAAATTCAATATATAAAGATTAAAAATATAAATTCAACGTCATTAATTTAAATGATTCAATGTTTGTCCTCCGAATCGAAGATCGATCTCCAACTTAAATATAAAATTACGACCGATCATATGACTTAATATTCCAATAAATAAAAAAGAAGTTATACCTACTTATTAAAAAAATAGTTATAACTATTTAAAACCATGACCCACGAGCATGACAAAATTAATTGATATTCTCACCTTGTGTTAACAGGACCTTAAGTGTAATTATCATAAGAATATATTTTTAGTATGCATAGAATGAAGCGGATAGAGTATACGTATTTTAATATATATGTAAATGTATATATATATATATATATATATATATATATGATTTTTAATGTTTTATATGTATATATCTTTTATTTAACATAACTAATATTAATTATCTATGTCATTACACTTAATATAACTATCGAGATAAAAGCATAAATCGATAACTATTAACTGGGCAAACATGAAACGAAATAAAAGGGAGCATATATACAAGCGAAAGAAACTTATGATAAAAATGAATAGTGTGATAGTGCAAAATGCTATTTGATATCCATGAATTGTTACCACGTACCAATGACAATGATAATATTAATCACAACTCACAAGCCTGCCTCCACGTATGAAAAAATCTTTATACATATTTTGGTTGCAAACTGAACAAATCATATTGCCCAATATACTCGCACACCTGTAAAGAATATAGGAGCAAAAAATATATATAACCAGGCTTTCTAGCCTAAAACCCAACTTGTACAAAACTGGCATAAGAATAGATAATCCAATCACAGCACCGAACAATGACCTAAACAACAGTATGGAGAGGAGAAAAAATCCTGCAATCAAAAGACAAAAATCTCATTCAGGCCAACAACATTGATAATGGTAGTAGACAAAACATCGGCTAAGTATATAATTTTTAAAATAATAAAAATAGAACAAACGGCAATGTTGAGTGCAGCAAGGAAAACTGTAAAATTGTTCTCTGCGGTTACAATTAGTAAATCCAATTTTCTTATGTGATGAGCATATATAGCAGATATTGAGCCTATTTGAATGTAGTATAGAAGCGCTTTGAGTTTCTCTACTTAAAATAAAAAGTATTTTTAATAGAGAAACTCTCAAAAATACTTATAAACATGTATTCAGACATCTTCATTATATAATTAATGTCATTTAAGTAACCGGTTTCTGTTCCAAGTCTAACACCAAAAGCCAACAGTTTCTTCCAGACAGAGAAGTGAGTGAATCCAATGAAAAGTTGAAAACCGGAAAATCTTGTCTTAGAAATAGTTCGCCCGAGTCAATCATCGAATAAGGTGTCCAGTGGTCATTGTGAATCGTGATATCAGTCAAACACAGTAACTCAAACTATCAGATATCATAAATCCAATAAAATATGTGATGAATATGAGAAGGTCACCCAAAAGATACTATTATTAATTAAAATCACACACGCATTAGCTATGTCAATTATCAACCATTATGCACTTTTCTAAGTTTATATAAATCCTACAAGCTAAGAACCTTGGCAAAAAATACACACATGAAACTAGCCAAAAGAACATGATACAAAAACAAATAAATCGGAGGTCATATTTGTTAAGATATAAACAAGTCCCACACCGATAAAATAAAATTAAAAAATAACAACTTATAATACATATACATATTTCAATGATTGAGAAACCTTTTGGGTGATGACCAACGTAAAACCGTGAGAACATAAGTCCAAAGCAGACAATATCTCATCATTGTGGAGTTGTGTGTGAAATAAAAAAACTCCATCTTTGATTCAGTGGTAAGTGATATATCCCCTCAGATAAATATCATAAAAGAAAAAAAACCATCAATATTCTTGCTCAATTCTAATTTCACCTTTATTAAAAGTCAATCGACACAATACAATGTCTCTTGCATAGCCTAAATTCCTATAAGTCACTAAGTTCATAAAGCTGCTGAAGCAATAGGTAGATTTGAGTTTATTGCTCACAAATTCAGATATGTGATTAGGGGAAGGGACACCAATAAATCACTAGGTAGGCAGAACCACATCAGCATTTAAAATCCCCTAGTTTTTGCCTGCTTTTTCCCCTCCCTCTGAACACACTCTTTTTGTTTT